CCCAGCTGCCAGCACCTCCAACGTCGAGTTCCAACCACAGTGAGTAACAAAACAGCCGATCGAACCATGAGATAAAACTCGTTCCTGGGGGGCTCCAAGGAAACCACCATTCCTCTTCCTTCGATCTCTTCCATGAACCCTTGAGGGAGAAGATCTCTGTAATTTTCGCGAACAACCAACAGAAACGGCTGACCGCAGTTCAACAGCCCGTTTGCCATCTCGGTCAGCTCGTCCTACGTGAGAACCACCACGCTGCCAAAAGAAACATAGACAACTGAATTTGGATTTTGCGAGTCTAGCCAGTCCATGCAGTCTGCAGGTCTCCATATATCTCCTTTTATTTCAGGCTCTGGTCCGTCGACAAGAGGGCCTACTGGGATGATGCGCAGGCCGATTGTTGTCGAAATGGCCTCAATTGCCTCACGCTCGAGCTCTTCGAAGGTGTTGACGAAAACCTAGGTGGCTTTACTTACGTTCTTGAATTGGTCTTGAAATATGTCAGCTACAGACTTAAAGAGGTTTGAAGGGAGAGTATAGGTCGGAAGCTCGTCAGGTGTCAGCTCTGGCAAGCCAAGAATATTCACAGATACATCTGGATTGGTGACAGTTGGAAAATTGGACAGGGAGTGTGTGAAGTGATAGTAAATCGAGAACACGGCGCACGATTGGACCCAGAGGACAGCATGAGGGATGTTGAGCTCTTCGGCGACATCAATAACCCAGGGAAGAAAAGGACTGTTGATGATGCACGATATTGGCCAGCCTCTTTCGGCCTGAGCACGGATTAGGTTGATGAGGGCAGGGTATCCGGCTGCACGTAGCTGGGGGACGAAAGAATCGAAGTCGTTGCGCCGAGGGTCGTCGCCGTCCCATCCATCAGTGAAGAATTCGAAACAGAGGTGTCCTTTGCCGATGGCGATAGGGGGATCTTCGGGTCTTGGAAGAGATTTCGTGGAGGCTGAAGAGATTCGGCGGCCAATGTAGAGGGTGGAGGAGAAGGTGACAAGGAGGCCTTTGGAGGCAAGATGCTTGGCAAGGCGGAGGAGGGGGTTGAGATTGCCTTGAGCGGGGAAGGAGACGACGAGGACATGGACTTGACTCATGCCTTCTGTCTGCAACTTGTGGGGGAGTGACCGAGTTATTTTGATTTCTTTGACGGAGAGGAGGAGAGGTCGGTGCGCATTTCTCCTTTCATTCACAGATCTAGATCTAAAATATCAATTTCTTAACTTATTTCACTTAACAAACGTAAAGTTGAATATTTTATGACTGCGACTTGTTGGTAACGGGACTTTAAGATCCACCACGCCCATATGAGCGGACGATTGCTGGCCCCTACCCTAGTACGGGTTTAGGTTTCGTCTCCTCTCATGCTTAGGGCCCGTTTGGTTCATTAGGTGAAAGTTACTGTAGTCAAGAAACCAGGTTGAAAACTGACTCTGACAGCTACAGTAACCTTCGCTCAAAAACACCATATTTTGAGGAGATGTGGTTAGAAGCTGCCACATTAGATTTTTAACTGCCACATCAGCATTTTTTTTGCACAACCAAACAATGTAAACAAGTAAAAGTTACTGTAACCTGACAGCTACCTAATAGCTACAGTAACTTTCAAACAAAAACAACCCAACCAAACAGCCCCTTACATTTGGACTTGGATTAATTACCGTCATCTGACTTTCACCTGCCAAAGTTCTTTAATTACCACGCCTTAAAATAGCCTGAATCAACTCAACATCCCACCTTGAAAATATGTTGAGAGGTGTCTTTAACTAGTTGCTTTAGTTGTAAGATGTGTTTTTTTTAGTTGGCTCGGGTAACTTCAGCAGTATAATTGGCCAATCTTTAACACGTGGAAGTATGCAGGAAATATATAGGGGAATAACATTCCAACACTTTGATTAACAGAGGTAAGAACAAAGTGCTACCTTAAGAAAGAATCGGTATTTAAATGATATTTAGCCTTGACATAAATATGTAAAACACTTTCATGGGGGAGGTCACTGGCATACAGAAAATATACACGCAAAAATCTCGCGAATAGTCAAGATTGCTTTCTTCTCAGGCTCATACTCCCATGGTTAGTAGCAGGTCACAAGAGGATATTTCTCACGGTATTCATTATATGTTTATCCTCCAGTATTTGGGCAAGATTAATGAGCAGCTGTACCAAGCTTTGGATACACATGCAGATACAAAATGGATATGAGAAAACAAAATAACATCCTAAAAAAATATAATTCATATATGGTACAAGAGAACTCATTAATATGTTTGTTATATATAAAAAACTAGGATTGGATTTCTTGATCATTAAAATTAGTCTCAAATTCATTAAACCAAGAATTAAAACAAGTGTAACTGTATGATCAGCATATATTCGAATATTTCAAATACAGTTCTGGATATTTCACTACAAAACTCTTATCTGTAACCATAGCATATCGATAAAAGATTTTAAGTAACCATATATATATCCTACAGATACAATTAGGAATATTTCCTCAAATATGGATATGGTCTAGCACCAATACTAATGTTCACGTATAGAAAGCACATCAATAGCAGTAATCAACTGATCAAGAAAGCTTCCCTGCTGCTAAAATAAATCCCGAGGGTAAAAGAGTAAAAAAAATTCACTCAGTGGTGAAACTAGAGGGGTAATAAGTTAAAAACATTAACACTACAGACTTAACACCCAAGTTAAATGATACCAGCACTTGACAAAAGTATGCAATTAACAGACGAGTGCAAAGATCAGTCAACCTCACATAAACTCATTGCAAATAACACCGAATCAAATCAGCCAAGCATTCTTTACTATCAAAACAGGAAATTCCTCTTGGATAAGAAGTCAATAAAGCTAATGCCAACCTGCAGGTTGATGGCTCCCCAATTGAAGAAAACCGCAAATTGCCAGAAATCTGTGAAGTTTTGTAGCCAAAACATGCCCTCTTTTCAGTTGCACGGGTATGTATAGAAAGGTAGAATGGAGGAACGTGGTTGTTGTAATCATTTCTTCTTGCCTCCAGCAGCTGACTTGAATGGGAGAAAATCAATACCACACATGAAAGGGCGTAGTACTTCTGGAATCTCTACTCCATCTTCTCGCTGGTAGTTCTCAAGTATACAACAGATGGTCCTCTCTGTAGCCGTTAGAGTAGAATTAAGAAGGTGGACAAACTGCTTTGCTTGTTCATCATTCTGTTAAAAAAGGAGCAGCAGAATCATTACAGCAAGAACTGAAAGGAAGAAATTTCCTACTTTCCAAAACCCTAAAGCAACAAGGGAACAAGTGCTGAGAATTTTGCCTTTTTCTGGCCGTATCCAATTCCCAGTCTTCTAGCTTGGTAATCTGTGCAATTTGAACAAGAGACCAACTCCCTGTAAGTTTTCGATGCAGGAAACCATGCCTCTAAATCATACTTCTTGGCTGCAGCATCATTCAAGGCACCCGAAACAATGGATACAATTTGATAAGGAAGTTTCAGCTGTAGCATTACCAAGCTATATTAGATGAGGGAGGTTAATGAGCCTAATAGTAGAAATGGTTTCAAAGGTTAGCAAAGTCTTGCCTCTTGATAGAAATCTTCAGAATTCTTGAGCATTTCCTCGTGCATCTCCCAAGAGTCATTACCGTTTGGGCTGGTGATGCAAAATTGTTCCACTTTCTCAAATTGGTGAACTCTAAAAATGCCAAGTGTATCCCGACCATGGGACCCAGCCTCTTTCCGGAAACAAGTAGAGAATCCAGCATATCTAGAAGACAGAACATGCTTTAGTGTATTTGTAAGCCATAATAAACTGTTCCATATCCCAATGCCAATGAAGAAAGTCATAAAGTAAAATCCAATACTTACCTTATGGGTAAGCTTGTAGGATAAATCCGATCTTCCAGATGATAAGCACACAACGGCTGTTCAGAAGTAGCAATTAGATATTTGTCATCTCCATCGCCTATTACCTGTTGAAGGGCAAAAGTCAATAATGTCCACTGGAGAACAGTATGATTGTTTCACACGGAAACATGCAGCAAGGCAAATATTATTCAGGAAAATTAGTTTTAAGGGTTAGGATTGAAGTTTGGATTACCTGATTACCAAGTATATTTGATGCAAAACAATTTTGAAAATCTACGAAGATTTTGTTGGAGAGTTCTACACCCGGTAGAAAAAATACGTAAAATGAATAAATTTCTTAGCACATTTTACATTTAGATTAAAATTTCAGATTGACTTTTATCTTTAAAATATTTGATTTTAGCCATCTAGTGGATTTGTCTACTATTGAAATTTAGATTGTGTCTGGATAGGATTTGTTTTGTGAGTTTCAAATTGTCTTAGAGACAGGATTTCAACTCTGTTGTCTTGTGGGTTGTGGTTTTTCATTGTTTCAGCAAAGGAAAATTGGAAAAAAAAAATGATTAAAGTTTAGCACGTGATTTGCTAGCCTAATAGCATGTGACATTCCAGGTGTGAATCCAAACGGTTAAGGTGTTGTGTGAATCCAGCCTAACCAAAAGTTTATCTATTTTTTAATCTTTCCCAGATCAGTTATATACCTCCACTAATCTACAACCCCCAGAAGCTTAGCCTCTCAAATAAGTCATTGCTTCACATCCGAAAAAGGACAAAAAAATCTAAAACCCTACTCTCTTTCACAGCCAGAGAAGCTACAAGTAAGGCTGAGGATTCTAACAGCAAGTTTCTGCAACTCTAGTGCTGATGTACCATACAACTCCCACCAATCAGCTATCAATTAAAATATAGTGTGATTAGCAGTGTATTTTCTACAGAAAATTTAGTCAATTGAGGGTTAATATTATGGATATTTACCTGAAGACCAATGTTTTCAATGCGCGAGGCGCAAAGTCAGTTTACGCACATATGCGCAAGGCGCAATGTGATGCGCGCACCCGAGTGAAGCAAGGCGCACTCCAGACACATAATTTTTCAAGATATACAAGCATGCATGAAATATATATTTGTGAAATTTCATGTAATCATGCAAGTTTTTCATACTAGTGTAGTGTATTGCATCACTAACAATTACCTTGCTAAATTTTATTTCTCTCATTACAGGTTACATATGGAGAATCTAGTAGCATCTAGCATCTAGCATCGAATAGCAAGAACCAGTCCTAGCACAAGAGCAATGAGCTTGAAGTCTTGAACAAAATAAGCTTGAAGCCTTGAACAAAACAAGAAGTCTTCACATTTCAACAGTCATATGTAATTATGTATTACTAAAAAGAAGCAATTAGCTCATAATATCATGATTCTGTACATCTATGAGTTAAATTAATTGAGAAAGATTGCACATCAAACAATCAAGTGATCAACCATCTTAACAGTCAACCGGCTCAATACAAAGTCTGAACAAACTTTAATCATTAGACAATTATAAATTCAAAACAGTCCACAACCAAGCTAAAATAATTGCATATTGTTAATTAAAAAACAGTTTACTGGCTTACTACTTCAAATCACTAACAGTCAAGCATTCAAAAACATTTCTTTATAGTTAAACACCCAATAGCATCTTAACAGTTAATAGTTCACAATTTACAGATCAAGTAAGGGGAGGGGGGGAGCGGTAGCAGTCAATTGTTCAAGTGAGAAGAAGAAGAAAAAAAGGAACGGGAGCAGCAGCAAGCATAGAGAACAGAGAAACCAGATCAAACTCAAGATTAAATAAGTGAAAAAAAGGGGGGGAAACTAAGTAGAGAAGGAAAAGAAAAAAAGGCAAACAAAAACAAACGAGAAAAGAAAGAGGGGAAGAAAATACCTCAGTTCCAATTTGCAATCATTGCTCACCGTTTTCTACTCGCCGCCGACTGCTAACCATTTTCTGCTCGCCGCCACAAGGAGAACACCGAACATGAAGAGAAAGGGAGAGAGAACGAAGTGAATGAAGACCTAATTCTTTGCTTTGGGTCAAGTTAGAGTTGTTTTGGGTTTAAGCTGGAGTCGGGTTTGTACCCGATAGCCCACTTTTACTAATTCAAACCAAACCCAATCGCCTCTTCTCCTAAGGCGATCCCCAGCCCAAGGCGTTAAGCACTACAGGACGCTCTCATGCGCGCACTTGGCGTAAACGTAGCGCCTCACACCTTATGCGGGGCGCTACGCCACCGCACCTTGTGCCTTGCGCCCGATGTGAGCGCCCGAAAGCGCCTTTAAAATCACCGACAAAAAGTAAGTTACTTCTTGCAAATCCAAACTAATGTCGATCCAATCCCCGAATTCAATTGCACCAACAACTTCTTCCTCTGATGCCAACGCTGATGGGACTCTTGACGAAGCCCCAATGACACTTCTCAATGCAGGCAACGCTTTGGCAATCTCTCCCATGTTACTGTTCAGATCAGTTCTACCCAGTGCATCCTCAAGAAGGTTCGATGAAGAATAAAGTATGCTCGAACTATGCCCTACAAATTGACACCTCTAAGCCATTTACAATAAATAAATAATCAATTTGTTCCATATGCAAGTTCACCTTTTGTTTTACCTTAAACGTACTCTCAAGATACTCATTCTTTCAAATACGACTCATACCCGTGGAACAAGGTTCTAAAACATGAATGTTAAGACTAGTGTTTTAAAAAGCTTCCCCGCCTAGGCCTATGCAGTACCTAGGTCGGCCGCTTAGGTCTCAAGGACACCCAGGAGAGCGGAGACTACTTACACGGACTACACCACTTAGTCGTGATCTCCTCCGTTGCTCTAACCTCCTTCGACCGACTCCACAAAGTACGTACACATCCTCCAACTCCTTCAACCTTCTGCAAAACCTCCCTGTCACCACTTAAGCAAAAAAAGAAATCCTCTAAGGCCTAGCATTCAGGTGCTAGGCATCAAGTCTGGCGCCTGGTGGTGACTAGAGGAATTGTCCCCAGAGACCAGATATGCTCATTATGCTGAAGAAGAATAAGAGAGTCATCACCAGGTTGATTTTCAGACTTAAAAAAACTGAATAGTTGTCCCCTTAACCCAAGAGGGGTACTATATCCAGATGCGTATTTCATTTTAGAGCAAAACTCCCATCAGGTTCACAATGAAAGTGCTGATATCTCTATAAGTTTAGTCCCTTTAACATACTTGTAAACAACTAATAACTGTTTGCTTAATATTTAGTCTCTTTTAGACTAACTCCAAACAAATGTTTGTTTACAATTCATTCTCCCACACACCACCCCCAAAATAAAGATGGGAGAAGCCCAGAGCACAAACAAACATAAGATTCAGTGTTGTCATCAATAGGAATGGCTAAGTATAGAAGCAAACCTTCAAGACAAAGAAGTTGGGTCAATTTACACCATGGTTAATGCAAAAGTTATTATAAACCTTGTCAATATAACATGTACATTCTGGACTGTTATGTGAAAAAAAATATATAATGTTCTAAAATTTTATCATGGTTTGTGTCTGTATATAATATACTAAACATGATCGCTCGATCAACCTCTGATTTCATGCTTAAAACAGATTTGTTTTACATCTGCCAATCAAAAGCTCACTATTCATACCCATGTGGGTGTGTCCATATTCGCATTCACCATGCGAAAAAAGTGATCAATTAATTAAACAAGCAAGAGGCCATGAAACAAAAAGAAGACTAACAAGAAGAAGACTCTGTAAACTAACTTCCATGAAAGCATATATAAAGCTAATAATATTCACCTTATAGAGTTCTTCGTCAAATTGAGCTAGCTGAGCGCATTTTGCCATGACTTCCTTTCTCATGAAAAAGGGTGTGTGTAGTAGGTTGTAGTTCCTCTTCCTCAAAAATGCAAGTCCATAGTTATATAGTGCAATATTTAAGAGGACACCCTCATCTTTCAAATAAAACCCTCTTCCTCCAGCCACAGTAGCACCTACAGAAACCAGCAGTGTAGAGTACATGTCCGTGATCACTTGCAGGCATCAGCTTAACATATGTCCAAAATTAATACAAAATATGGCTACTTTTTAAGTAACATGAAATATTTTTTCCTTTCGCTAGTTATCGTTGATTAATTTTCATTTCCAATGAGCCCACAAAGGATTGTTCTAAACAAATAGAAGAACATAAGGATGTAAGAAAACATACAAATTTGAGAGTCAATCTCTCTTCTAACATTGCAAACAGATACATCTAGTGAGAATCTTATATCCTATACGATAAACCTTGGTGGATGTCAAAATTTGCAACATACTCTTTGCCTATGAAAACATATCATAGATGCATACAAGATTAAGAAGTGACAACTAAAATACATGAACAATAGGTACATAAACATTCATATTAATTAGGTTTCGGTTGATGCGCTTCCTTTATATAATTTCTTTAGTTTCTTATTAAGGAATTGTTTTGTTCATGCAGTTATTGATTTGCATAATTTGTAAATGTTTCTTAATATAAGTCACATGATGCTTTTGCTACATATAAGAAATATCACACAGACATCTAGTAGTTTTATTATTATTTATCCATGACCATATTTGTCTAACCCTTTTAGGACTTGTATATCATATAAATTTGGTGCCATATTGTATGCCTTATGTAAGTGCACATTGCTTTTGTATCCCCGCACATGCGTATGTTGCCATGTCATGATGTTGAGTGGCAAGTCTAATGAAGTACAAGCTCCAATCTTTTAATTCTTTAGTCTGTTTCGTTGTCCTTGAGGTTTGAGTTCAGATAAAGGTTTACTTAACAATATGTTAAAGAAGTGCTAACATCAGAGTCTGTACTTATTCTTGCAATTGGTTAGGAATAAAAGCTAACTATTCATGACCCTAAATTTCCTATATCTCAATGTTCACAATGGTTCATAACTTCATATCAGCACCCTATATCAGTTTGGTGCACTTGTTTTCTACAATTTGCGTATTTTCTTATTCTTTTTTGATCCATATAAAGAAATGATGCATATGGGTTCTCTATAACGTGAGGCTTTTAAGTTCAAGTGGTCACCCCTCCTCTGTACTCACTTCTTTGTTTGCCTCAAGTTAGCACCGGGAATCTATGGTCTGTCCAGTCCCAAAAGTCTTGAAGTGTACAGGTTTACCTACGTGATAAGCTGGTACGAAGCATTGTTGCTCCACTGGGTCTGTTGCATTTAGACTATATCAAACCAAAATGGCCGGACACAATAAAATTTTGCTGAAATTCATGGGATATCACCAACATCTGATAGAATAACCAGCAACATAGGGTTTCATAGGGTGTTACTAATTGGTTTTTACCAAGTTTGAACATCATAGAAAACAATGCATACTTCAAATTCAACATAATTCTAAATGTTGCGAGAACAATGTTTCACGAATATGGAACCCAGTTAAATGTTGTCCACTTAAGGAAGAGGGATCCCCGGGAACAGAGATGCACACCCAAGAGAGGGGGGGTTTGAAAAATACTGCAAGCTTGCAAATTCCATCCTGTTTGCAGCAACTTTCACTAAATTAATAGTTCCACTCAGAAATACTCACCGACTATTAAATATCTAAACAAACGTCTATAACTTGGACTTTTAAAATTTACAAGCATGCTGAAAATGGTACCCTTATGTATTTTATAACCATCCATTTCCCAGATGAGTCTATTCAACCATAATCAATTCTTCAGTGGTGTCTCCAATTTTAATAGCCCCCTTAGAGATACATATCACCCACACGTAGATACCTTGACAAGAAACGAAATGCAGCTTAAACCAGCATACCATTCTTTAGATCTGCAATGCCGAGCATATCCACCAGGTCCACATGGTTCCTCAGCTTCCCTTCCAACCGACGCTCACCCCACGTTCGTACCACCAAATTATTCGCCTGCAGCAATTACCGAAATCATAAACGCATACATCAAATCATCACGCCACTCGATCAATCACATACAAAATCAACCAACAGACCTCATCGTTGCTAACAGGGACGGAGTCATGAACAAGGTTCCCAATGGTCATAAGCTTGGCATCAAGCTCCGTCTTGGCCAACTTCACCTCCTCATCCTTCTCCGCCATCTTCTTCTTATGGTCATCCGTTCCCTTGATCGCCTCCGTCGCATCCTCCTTCGCCTAAACTCATTCAGATCCCCAAATTCAGTAAACAAACCCTAAAGATGAGGAAGGAGGGGAGCAAAAGATGAAACTGACGATTTTGAGGCGGGCGATCTCCTTGGTGAGCTTGTTGAAGTCATGCTGCTGATGGATCTGGTGAGATTGAGGGAGTAAGAGACCGATGAGGGTTTGAAGAAGGAGGCTAGGGTTTTCATTAAGAAATGGAGGAGTGTAGGGCTTTTATACCCGGGCTTACGGATGGGCTCCGGAATCGGGGGGTGGGTCGGGTTTGGAGGGGCTCAAGACTAGTCGTAGATGAGTCCATACAGGTTGAGTGAGCACCTCGGCCTGCCCGAAAGCGCGGTCTCGTGTGGGGCCAACTCAGAGTCAAAGTCGATGGAGCTTAGGGGGTTATTCATCCGGGTAATTTGAGGTAAATTGGGTAAAATTATTCTAATGAGGTAATTTTACCCAATGGGATAATTTGAATGGGATAAAGTGAGATAAATTGGGATAATGGGATAATTTGAGTGAGACAATTGGTATGACATCTTTTTATAATATTATATTTATAGCTCAATTAAATTCAAGTTTAACTTGATATAACATCAAATGATTATAAATAATAGTTATAATATATAATAATATTATTTTTAAGATTATTTTAATTCTATGATCCCAGCCAAGAATTACATCTGATTAGTTTTTTTTAATTTAATATTTATGGTTGTACTTCTAAATCAGCTACACAAGAAAGCTAAATCGAAAGAAATCAACTGATATCTCCAAGATTCTAAAATACTTCTAAACCAAAGAATCCAGAGTAACTACTCACCATATTGCTGGAAACGAGAGAAAGCAGGCGATCGACCCACTCATCCACGACCGATCTCCAAGCTTCAGCGATCTTAGGGTTCGGATTGGGGTTCGGATCTCGCTCCGATAAGATTCCGTGGGTCTTCACGTGAGAGAGGACGGAGGCGAGCTCCGATGAGCTCGGAAACGAACGCTTATCATCGGGGGCATGGTCTCGGATGAGAGGTTGAAGCATCTGGGGTTTCAATCGAGGGTCGTTCATGCTGCTGAAGTGGTCGGCGGTCGACATTAGAGCAAGATAAGAGGGAAGAGCTAGAGTTAAAATTAGGGTTTTTGTTCTGTTCTGTTTTGTTCTGTTTTGAGGTTGTCGCCGGAACAGCAACGGAGAGGGCGACGCCCATGGAGACGGAGGAATAGGAAGGAGCTCGAGCTCGAGAACAGAAGTAGGGAATTTGTCCCCCTCTCTTGTTCCAGGAAGCAATATGGGGTAAATTTTTGTGGGTGGGGCTGAGGGGGGTTATATA